AGGGATAGGAATCCCTAGCATGGCCGGCCACAAGGGATAAAGGATAGAGGAGAATTTTGGTTCGAAATTCAAATTGGAGATAGAGATTGGATTCTTTCTAGAAGTTTGACTTCTACTCTATAAATACTATTTTTGAAACAATTTTCGGAATGGTTTTTTACCCTAATTTTAGAGGTAACCGAAATTTCTTTCTAGAAATTTTGGAAATAATTTTTCAGCCCTAAGGGTTAAGGTTGGCCGAAATTCTCAAGAGAAAAAGGAAGGAAAAATTTTTTCTCCAAAAATTCCACATCGTGCATGCAATGGTGTTTGTGGAAATTTAAGTGTTTATTGAACCCGTTTTGTCTCATGTGTGCCCACACACACGTCTTCGTGGATTCTAAGAATTGACGTGGAAGACATTGGTTTTCTAAACACAAAGATTGGAGCAAGGACTGTTCGTGGTCAAAGAACTCAAGTTATTATCCGAGTCAGCTTCCAGGTATTTTTCTAGATTGAGTTCTTGATATATATTAGTTAATGAGATTAATTTATTCGTACATAAATTAATATAATCTATAGAGTATCTCAAAAGTTTTATGAAAATTTTTGTTATACACGATCCGCCTCTTCCCCGCACCACCACGCTTCCGCATCCGGATTAGATTCGGAGACCAACATACGCAGCATTCAAAATGTTGCAAGCCCATACTGGAGTTGGGTGGGATTCTATCAACAAAACTTTCACATGCTCGGAGGATCTGTGGAAAGATCTTTCCAAGGTATAATGTGTGATTCGTTAGTGGTCCTTCATTCAAAAATATGGCAACGTACATTTTATGTAATAAGTGTAAATAACTATAATTTTGTTTAAAATTTTGCTAGAGAAACCGTGAAGTAAACACAATTTTCAGTAATGGTTGGAAGCTTAACGACATGCACTTGGCTGCCATTTTCCCCAGTCGAGTTGTCGCTACTGGTGCAAGATCATTCCACCCCTCCATGGAACAAGAGCATGTGGACGGTGTCCCCTCGAATGACATTGAAGCTGGGATTGAGGAACCACAAAATGAGCAAAACTCTCCGTACCAAGACATTGATGATGATGACATTCGAGTGGAGTTTGGCCGCCGCATGGAACGCCAACGAATGGAAAATGCGACCAACGTCGTCTCGTCATCACGTACGATTCGGAAGAGGTCGACAAGGTCACGCAAATCCAATGACAGTACGTGAGAGGAGATGCTTGAAGCGGTGAAGGACATGCGCAATGATTTGCGGGAAGATATTCAAGCAAGCAAAGAGACCCTCCCAAGTAACAACACCGTCAATGGACCATGTGAAGTGACTCTGATACTAGAGTCGCTGGTCCAAATGGGAATTAATCCGCGTACACGTGTCCATGCGATTAAGAAAATTGCTAAGGACGACACATGGCGTCGGGCGGAGCTTGATGATTCGTCGAGGAGAGCCTTCTTAGATGACTTTGTTCAACTGCCCCAAACCCCTTTTGTTCCTAATCGTTATAGTCAGCCACCTCAAAACTTCTCGCAAGTACCTAATCCTTATAGCTAGCAACCAACCCCCTTTGGACAGGCCCCAAGCTCCTTCCAACATCCACCAAACCCCTACAACTAGCAACTTCCCTCCTTTGGACAGCCCCCGAGCGCCTTCATGCATCTACCTAACCCATATAGCCGTCCACCGACTCCTTAGGAAGCATTGTCACTTGTAGAGTCTTCATTTGTGTGTTAAGTATGTGTTGTGATAGGTCGAGTTGTAAACCCCCGAATTTGAGTTTCTATTAATTTTAGTCTTCATTTGTGTGATTTCGTTACTCTACTTTCATTCCTAGACTGTACTATTGTTTTAATTTGAGTATGACTTTGTACCCCGGATTTATGTTTATGCAATATATGGCACTTTCCCCTTCATTTCTGCGAATATAGCAAGAATTCTTTGTAGTCAAACTAACCGTTGTCAATGTGTTTGGTTTTACTTGAAGAGAATTTAGTTTTGTGCCCTCACTCTGTTTCTAGTTGGATACAGTTGTTCTAAAAACTTTGAATTACTGAGTTGTATGGTCATTGATACTTTCGATGGCGTTACTGAATTTGTTTGTATGACCGTTTGCAATAGACTTCGAATATGCACTCCACCCAAATGACATGCAAATGTTGTGTACAGGTTAAACCGTGAAGCTTCAAGATGCAGGGAGAAGGATCCGGACATGCAAATGACGACCATTAGAGAAGGGCACATTCTAGACGACGACGGCGCTTTATGGCTGCAATCGTAACGACAATAGCCAGTGCCGAGTTTTTGGATAGTGACACAGTACCACGGCCTGTGCACATTTCTTCTCTGAGGGGCATCGATAAGGTAAATGAGTTGTTATCAAACAATAATGAAGCCGATATGTTTAACAAGGTGCGTATGGGACCACGTGCATTCATGATTCTCTATAACATACTAACTGAACGCCGATTGTTACAACCCTCTTACAACATGAATGTACAAGAACAATTATTTGTGTTTTTAACAATCGCTTCCCAAAGTCAACCTAACCGTGAAGCTCAAGACATATGGCAACATTCTGGGGAGACAATTTCACGGCGGTTTGGTGATGTTCTCGATGCTATATGTGCACTACACGATGATTTTATTAAACCCCCTAACTATGAGAGAGTTCATAATTTTTTACGTCAGAATCGTCAAAGATATGGAACATGGTTTGACGTGAGTTCTCTAGCTATATTACCTCGGTCTTGTGTTACTCACTCCACTAATTGTTCTTACTTATAATATCTACAATCTAATATTATTGTTCAGGATTGTGTAGGTGCAATTGACGGAACTCATATTCCTTGTACACCGATTAGAATTCCAAATCCTATAGCGTACCGCAATAGGAAGGGAGTGAACTCCCAAAACATATTGGCAGTCTGCTCCTTCGATATGAAGTTCACATACATGCTATCTGGATGGGAAGGTTCAGCGCACGATGCAAGAGTGCTAACGGAAACGCACTCCAATCCTAGGTTCAAGTTCCCACGTCCCCCACCAGGTTATATTTTATAATGTATCTGTAGGTATAGGTATTAATAGTATGGGGCATAAATTGCATCCTAATTTATATAACTTGCGCAGGAAAATACTACTTGCTGATGCGGCGTACGCGAACTCTGATTGTTTCCTCGCTCCCTACAGAGGTGAGACTTACCATTTGCCTGATTATAGAAGGAGAAGTGGTGAATTTCAGGGAGATAGAGATATTTTTAACTACAAACACTCGTCGCTACGTAATTGTATAGAGCGGACGTTCGGAGTTTGGAAGGCTAGGTTCCCTATCCTAAGGCGCCCCAATAATACGTATCCAATGGATAAACAAGAGAAGATTCCTGTTGCTTGTGCAATATTGCACAATTTCATTCACATGTTTAATGAGGGGGACCCCCTTCTAAATCAATACTACTGTGATGGTGTACCGGTAAGCGAAATAGATCCGAACAATGATGATGAATTTGATGACGATGACACTGATAGTAATGTCCCTAAAAGGCCAGTTGTAACAGGAGGTAGTGTTAGTCGTACAGAGATTAGTCGTTTTAGGGATCGCCATGCGAATGAAATGTGAGTGGAATATCAGGGAAGCCGTGGGAGACACGTTTGATACGCAGATTGAAGCTGAAGCTTAATGGGGTAGTTTCTTTACTTCCACATTTTTTGCATTATGTTTTTGTTTCTACCTTTCATATGCTTTCTTTGCATAGAGAAATTTGCATACTTGTGTATTTCAATGAAGAGAAATTTGAATATGGCAGAGGAAGTGTTTGGAATTTATACCATGCTGGTGACACGGTTGGTGTGTTAGCTGCAACTGCAATGTCAAAAATCGCATATAAAGCAGTTCTTAATTCTAGTCCAACCAGCAACTCTTCTTGGAAATTAGTTAAGGTAATTACCTTTTGACTAGTGAGTTTTGTTACATTCTTGCTTTGTTTGAGTATAGTTGGACTTTGGTTTTGGGGAATGCATGATGTGGATGTTCTTGATGATGTGGGTTTGTAATTTGTGCTCTCTAGGAAATACTACTTTGCAAGGCTATTTTCATAAATGAGTTTAAATATTGCTGAGAACAAGCTGTATATTTGGCATCCTAATCAAATAGAAGACAGTCTTAAAGATACTGCAGTGGAGTTGATGATTAGTATGTTCTTTCCCTACCTTAATTGTGTTATATTTCCTATTTGAGGGACTTCTAGTTATATACAATTACAGATGCATCATTTTCTGATTATTGGTTTTATTTGTTAATATGAAAACTCTAAACAAATGCCATAACAGATATCTTCACATACAACTGTGAAGGGTATAATACATACAGATTCCATGGTGTACCAAAGTATCAAATAATCTTTGCCATGAACTCATGCGTGGTAGATAAATACAACAACCATATTTAACTAACGAGCAGTGCATAATACCTCTATCAATAGAGCTGATCCGCATCTGCAAGCCCAAAAAAAACAGTGTTAAAATGTCTGTGGACATAATTCCAGGGAGGTTTCTGGATAGCAAAGGTCATGGAATGTCTGGGATAGTTCATGGAATGGTGGCTCTCAAAGTTACTTTGGCAGTCGTCTGCTATAATAAACGGTCATGATGTAGCAGAAATTGTTCATGGTTTGATTTTTGCCATACATTTTTTTGGGTCCCCTATTGAGTTTAGCTACCCAGGAGGCAGGAAACACCATTCCTATTGAGAATGCTGCTTTTTAAACTAATCTGCCCTATGAAGTGTTCATTGATTGAAGGATGAAGGGAAGCTTGTAAAGTACAAATTCGATTTTAGTTGACACTATGAAGTGTTCATTGATAGTAGGATAAGTAAAATCTTGGACTTTTCTCCTGCATACGTTTATTCCTTTTAAGATCTAAATCATTAGTTTTTTTGTGCTTCATTAAACATGGTTTTTTTGTGCTTGAGTATGTGAAGTTTGATCATTTCTGCTTCAGTATGTTACGGCAAACTGATGCTGTAACATTGTTTGTAATATGGTCCTCTTTGTCTAAGTTTGAGATGGAAATGGTGAATGTTGTGCAATAAAATGCTTGGCCAGATAGTGACCTGATTGTGGCTAATGGTATCCCTTAGTGCTTATCTGATTGTTCTACTCTCACGGATTAGGATGCTATGTGTAAACTTGATTGCATCTGGATACTCCTTTTTGAACATATTTCTCAATGAGGACACTTGTTGATGCCAAACGAAAAAATGGCAAAGTTGGTATAGCTCCTTGTCGAAGTAAAGTATTGGAAGTACTAATGCTTTGCTATATATTGGATTCCCCCGGTTCTTCTGTTCCCTGTCAAACCAAACGAAAAAAAAGAGTGACGGTTCTACTGTCCGTCAGTGTCAACTTGGATTGCATCTGGATTCAATTTTTGTTCCAAAAAGGTCACGTTTTGATGCCAAAGAGAGCAAAGTGAATATTGCTCCCTGCCAAAGTAAAGTAAGGGACGTAATCAATAGAAATCTTACATAGTGGGAGTATATATACCACTTCATTACTATGAAATTTTTTTTGAAACCATAACATAATATCCCATTTCCAGCAAAAGGTAAAGTACATAACGTAGAGAATCTGGATTTTCCTAGTTATATCCCTTTGGCGTCCATCTTTTATATTCACATTGTTGTTGTTCTTGACTCGACTTTATTTTTCATATTGTGATTCTACAGATCCTGCAACATCATCTTCAACTTTTACAGAATCGTAAACCCAATGAAGTCACAAATACCGAAGCCGGATTAGCCTTCGGCAGTAGCCAGGAGAAGAATGTAGCATATGTTTCAGAATGCCTTCGCCATGGCAAGATTGATTTACTTGTAGCATTTTCAAAATGTACTACTATAAAATATCTCAACTAGTAGACCCAGAAATGTGCATATAGGGGAAACACAAATAGATAAAAGAAGGTGTTGCATTGGTAATCAGAGAACCACTGTCGTTTGACATATGACAGGGTACTGAGCAATGTGGTATTGTTTGTTGTTGCCACCAACCTTTGTTGAATGGTTTATGGCTTTTTACCGGATCTTGATGTAACTTGTCCATTTGTAGTGCTAATTTGTACACAATTTCATTTCCTTTTTTCCCCTCTTGCTGTTTAGTTTTGAATAATTTGGAGTGGATAACAGCAAATATCAATTAATGTACTAGTTGGCACCGAATGTTCAATAGGGTTGAAATATTTTTCCAATCATGATCAAATTCAATTGAAATCTTTCGATCGAGTGATTCGTGTTGCGTCTTGATTGTATGGCATACAAACAAATCATTTTTTTCTAGTAATTGGCTTGTTATACAATGGAAGTCGTGGGAGACAAGTTTGATATATGCTTGGCTTGTTAGATAATTTTATTCACATTTTTTTCATTTATTTCTCACTTAGCTTGTTATAATTCTGAGTTATAATTAGTTGCATAATTTTTTTTTAGTACTTCATTTTTTAATTATATGACGAATTATATTTTTTTTTAAATTACACGTAATGAATTATATTTGTTATATAACATTATTTTGGTCATGATTCAAATTCAGAAAACAAAACAACCAAATACTGATTCGAATCACATTTTAGGTTAGAATCAGAATCATGCATATACATATCCAAACAAAGGTTCTAATCACTCTAAATCATGATTCAAATCATGAATCATGATTCAAATCAAAAAGACTCAAATCATCTTAATTTCAATCCTTATACCAAACGGATCCTAAGATACTACTATCAGAATATGACAAGAATATACTTACATGTACAGCTTCCTTGACGTCGTTGGTCGAACCCTTGTCAAAAATGCTCATCACGGCAGTTGTCGATTAACTAAGCCTGACGCGTCTTTGGATTCACCAGGAACATTAATTGGTGTTAAAGTTTAATGTTACAATAATAATAATAATATTAATAATATTAATAAAACGTAAATTATATAAAAAAATTTCATATAGTAACGCACCTTTCTATGTTGATGCTGTGATAAGATGAATGCTCTCAAAAGTCAGGCCACTTCATCTTTTTGCTATATGATGAATTGGTTGCCGATTTCTTCTATAAAGAAAATCGGAGTGAGATTTTAATAGCCAAACCATATTAAAAAAATATTGATGGAAATAGAAACCTAAAACTTTAGTGACACGAATTGATTACAGTATAAAGGCCAATGTTCAGGGTCTTTAGTGGTGTTAAGGACCCTGGACCTAGCAAGCTCTAGGTGGCTCACTCCACTATGGCTTTTTGAAGTGTATGTGGAGGTCTTTCTTCTAATCCCAGTAACATTTAGTTCGTCTGCTGACTGAATGTCCAACTGTTGCTGCATTATATTCAAAAATTTATATTATTTACTTACGATAGAGTTAAAAAATTTTATCTAATAAAAACTTAAAAAATTTAAGGTAGATTTGAAAGGTTATTGCCCATGTTGCCGATTTCTTGTATAAAGGAAAAAAGTTTAGTGTTATAATGAGATTTTAATACCTCAACCATATTAAAGCAATATTAATGGGAATAGAAACCAAAAATTCTGGTGACATGAACCGATTACAGCATAATTGTTAATGTTCAGGGTCCTTAATGGTGTTAGGGACCCTGGACCTAGCATGCTTTGGATCACTCACTCCACCATGATTGTTGAAGCGTATGTGGAGGTCCTTCTTCCAATCCTGATAACATTTTTGAGCCTCATCCATGATTTGATAATCATTTCATCTGTCAAATGAATGTTGAACTGTTAGAGAGATTGTAATATATCTCTCAATTTCGATATCACAAAATTATTGGCTTAAAACACATTCGGGAAGAGTGGACGGACACAAGCGTTCGCTACAGCGCGCAGGAGCGCGCGCTGTAGCCTGCGCAAAACAGACCTCTCGGGTCTGTTTTGCTAAGCTCGCGCGCTACAGCGCACGGACGCGCTGCAGCGCGCTTATTGGGCGCTGCAGCCTGCGCAAAACAGACCTCTCGGGTCTATTTTGCTGAGCCCCGCGCGCTGCAGCGCACGGACGCGCTGCAGCGCGCTTCTTGGGCGCTGCAGCGCAAATTGTTAACGAAAAATGTGTTTTCGTGTGTTTCAGTAATCTGAAAATGTCTCCAAACATTGCATCTATTTGTGATATGTTTTCTCACATATCTGAGCACTTATTAACAATAGAAATAACTATTAATATAAGTGCAACAGCATATAAAAGATAACCATCAAATTGAAAAGGTATCATTATGTGAAAGGTTGTAACACTTAAGGATGATGGATGCATCCCTGTCTTTATTTGATGGACTTCAGAAAATTACAGATTATTATTATTCTGGAGCTCAATATTTTTGCTGGATATTGTGTTCAAGGGTTTGTTGTATCTTGGGGGTAATTTGCCATTTTAAAACTCGTTAGCAAACTTTGAGAAGTGAGGGCAAATAAAACCTTAAAGAAAAGTATTCCAATACGCCTCAAACTATTTTCCTGTTTTCTCTATTCTTTTCAGCCTCCCAATTCTGAATTATTCTAACAATCTTTAAGGTTTTAATTTGTTGCAATGGAAGTTGAAAAGAACATGACGTCTTTCCTCAATCCTAATGTTCAACTTGATCGTTTTAATGGTACCAACTTCACCCGTTGGAAAGGAAAGTTGTTCTTTCTTCTCACCGTGCTTAAGATCGCCTACGTACTTGATCCGAAATTAGAGCCTCTTCCTGAACCAAAAGATGATGATTATGAAGAATTAAACACCGCAAGGAAGAAGCGAGGAGATGATGAAATCATGTGCCGGGGTCATATTCTCAACACTCTCTCCGATAGGCTCTACGATCTTTACAACTCGATGGAGTCTCCGGTGAAAATTTGGAACGCTCTTGAATACAAATACAAAACGGAGAAGGAAGATACGAACAAATTTCTCATCTTGAAATTTCTAGAATTTGTCATGATTGATACCAAGTCCGTTCTAAATCAAATACATGAATTGCAAGTCATTATTACTAAGTTTCGTGAATTGAAGGTTGAGATTTCTGAATCATTGCAAGTGGAGGCAATTATTGTTAAATTGCCTCAAAGTTGGAATGGTTATAGAAAGAAACTCCTTCATAGGAGAGATGACATAACTTTGGAGGAATTACAAAAACACTTGAGAATCGAAGAAGAGACTAAGGGCTTGTTCTTTTGAGTGAAAAACTCAAAAAAAGGCAACTCAAGTTATAACTTTATTCGACTTCATGTTCTTTTAAGTTTAAACTCGAGTTTAAACTCGAGTTCAAACTCGAGTTTATGACTAAAACTCGAGTTTAAGTTTCCCCTTTAACTCGAGTTCAGAAACTCGAACTCAAATTAATGAACAATATCTTTTCTATTCTTAAAAATGCTATAACTTTTTCGTTTTAATTCTAATTAAGATGATTTTTTTTTATGCGTTGACAACGAAAAGACGAATAAAATCTGACCCATATATCCTATTAAAATTTTTCATCATCATTGAGTTTTTATTAAAATACTATCTAAATATAAATTCAAGTTTTGACTCACACAAACACAAACTCAAAAAGATTCTTATCTCAAACCATAACTCAAATGTATACAATTAAACACAAACTCAAGTTACAAGTTCAACTCGAGTTATAACTCAAATTCAACTCAAGAATTATACTCAAGTTAAACTCCAAAAGAACAAACCCTAAGTCTCGTGATTCTAAGAACAAAAATGTAGATTTCTCTAAAGTTAATGTTGCCGAAGTTAGTAAGTTTTCAAAGAACTTCAAAGTCAATAATGACAATAAGTTAGTAAGTTAATGTTGCCGAAGTTAGTAAGTTTTCTGAAAATTGTTTCTTTTGTGGAAAGAAAGGTCATCGCCAAAATGACTGCAGATACAAGAAGAAAAAGGAAGAAGTGAACACCAACAATGCTAATGTCGTTGAAGAGAAATCCGAAGACATATGTGCTATGGTCTCGAAATTGTAAATTGGCATGATTACCGAAACTAATATGGCTGCATTTAAATCCTCCGATTGGTGGCTTGATTCCGGTGCCACAATCCACGTTTGTAATGACAAGACTATGTTCTTATCTTACAAAGTGGCAAAGGAAGGACAAACGGTTCTCATGGGGAACAATGATGCAGCGATGGTTGCCGAGAGAGGAGTGGTGGAGATTAACTTTACTTCCGGAAAGAAGCTAACATTGAACAATGTACTTCATGTTCCTGATATTAGAAAAATTCTTGTATCCGCTAGTCTTATGTGTAATAATGGGCTTAAGATTGTACTTGAGGGCAATAATTGTATTGTATCTAAGAATGAGATCTTTGTGGGAAAAGAGTATTCTTGTGATGGCATGTACAAACTAAGTGTTAATAATAAAGATGATGTGAATTCTCTTTATATTGTTGATTCTTTTTATATTTGGCATGCACGTTTAGCACACTTAAATTTTAGATCTTTGAAATACATGTCTAAACATGGTTTGGTTACTTGCAAAGATATTAAAAATGATAAGTGTGAAATTTATATACAAGCAAAGATGACTAATAAACCTTTTTCTAGAGCCGAACGTAATACTCAAATATTGGATATGATTCATACCGATATTTGTGAGTATAATGGTATTTTGACTAGAGGAGGAAAGAGATACTTTATCACTTTTATTGATGATTGTTCTAGATACACTTATGTGTATTTACTTAGAAGAAAAGATGAAGCCTTTGATAAACTTAAAATTTATAAGGCTGAATTGAGAACCAAAAAGATAAGAAGATCAAATAGTTCGAAGTGATAGAGTTGGTGAATATTTCTCAAATGAATTTGATGTTTTCTGTGAAGAGCATGGTATTATTCACCAAAAGTCAGCCCCTTTTACTCCTCAACAAAATGGATTGGCTGAAAAAAAGAATAGAATCTTTACCGATATGATTAACTATATGCTTCTTAATGCTAAATTGCCTAATAATTTATGGGGGGAAGCTTTACTTACAGCATGTCATGTTCACAATAGGATTACATCTATGAAAACACATGTCTCTCCATATGAAATATGGAAAGGAAGAAAACCAAACTTGATGTATTTAAGAGTGTGAGGCTGTATAGCCTTTTATAGAATAATTGACCATAAATCATCAAAGTTAGGAGCTAGAGGTATTAGAAGTGTTTTCGTAGGTTATGCTGAAAATTTCAAGACTTATAGATTATTGAATTTAGATTCTAATGTTATTGTAGAATCAAGAGATGTTGAATTTGTTGAGAACAAGTTTAGTTTTGATTCTTCCATTGAATTAGAATCTAATGTTAATCGACCATATGTTGACATTCCCGGTACCTCTACTAATAAAAGGAAAGAGTCTATGACATCTTTCGAACCGAGAAGAAGTCAATGTGAAAGAAAAGAAAATAACCTAGCACCGAATTTTATTTCATCTCAAAGTTTAACCTTTTTGGTTGAATGAGATAGAAATGATGTACTTAATAAAATACCATTGTTGCTTAATATAGAGGAAGATCCAAAGACATTTAATGAAGCTATGACTTCAAAGGATGCCTCCTTTTGGAGAGAGGCTGTGAATGATGAAATGGATTCGATTATCTCGAATCAAACTTGGATCTTGATCGATCTTCCTCCGGGATCAAAACCAATAAGTAACAAATGAGTGTTTAGGAGAAAGTACAATACCGATGGGTCTACTAACATTCAAAGCTAGATTAGTAGCTAAAGGCTTTAAACAAAAGCGTGGTATAGACTATTTCGATACATATGCTCCGGTAGCTAGATTAACATTCATAAGAGTGTTATTTGCAATTGCATCAATATGCAATTTGCATGTGCATCAAATGGATGTTAAGACGGCTTTTCTAATAGTGATCTTGATGAGGAAATCTATATGGAACAACCCAAAGGGTGTGTACTACTTGGAAATGAAAAGAAGGTTTGCAAGTTAATCAAGTCACTTTATGGTTTAAAGCAAGCACCAAAATAATGGCATGAGAAATTTGATAATGTCATTTTATTTTATGGTTTTAAGCATAATAATGCGGATAAATGCTTATACTCTAAATTTACAAATTGTCTTGGTGTGATAATATGCTTATATGTTGATGACTTGCTCATTTTTGGAACAAACATGCAAAAGGTAAATGATATCAAGAAATATCTAACTTCACAATTTAAGATGAAAGATCTTGGTGAAGTAGATATTATCTTAGGTGTAAGAGTGAGGAAGCATAATAGGGGTTACTCGTTGTGTCAATCTCATTATATTGAGAAGGTACTTCTTAAATTTAATCATTTAAAGTTTAAAGAAGCAAATACCCCATATGATTCTAGTATTAAATTACTAGAGAATGCAGGCAAAATAGTGGCACAGCTTGAATATGCTAGTGCGATCAGTAGCTTAATGTATGCTATGCATTGTACAAGGCCCGACATAGCATTTGCGGTATGCAAAATGTCTAGGTTCACGAGTAACCCGGGTATCGAACATTGGAATGCAATTGGAAGAGTACTTGGTTATCTTAAAATAACCATGAACTTGAGTTTGTCATATAATGACTATCCGACCGTACTTGAAGGGTACTCGGATGCAAGTTGAATAACAAGTGCAAGTGATAATAAATCTACATCCGGGTGGATTTTCACAATTGCAGGAGGAGCCATCTTTTGGGCTTCTAAAAAATAAACGTGCATAACTCACTCTACGATGGAGAGTGAGTTTATAGCACTTGCCGCTGCAAGCAAAGAAGCGAAATGGCTAAAAAATCTATTGCTTGATATTGAGTTATGGCCACAACCGATGCCATCTATTTATTTGTACTGTGATAGTGAAGCTACTTTATCTAGAGCTTATAACAAGATTTATAATGAAAAATCTAGACATATTAGCTTGAGACATGAATATGTTAAACAATTAATAACCGATGGTATTACTAATATTGTTTATGTTAGGACAAACAATAACCTAACGGATCCTTTGACGAATGGTCTTTCAAGAGACTTAGTCAAAAAAACATCTAGAGACAAACAAGAACCTAACAGATCCTTTGACGAATGGTCTTTCAAGAGACTTAGTCAAAAAAACATCTAGTGGAATGGGACTGAAACCTTTCTTTAAAAGAGTCACCAATGATAGTAACCCAACTATGTAATAGTTGTACCGCTATTCCATAGTTAAATGGGTAAGAACAAATTATTGTTATGTGACCAGGTTAGCACCGAACTTTAATTAGTCTCTTCTAGGATATCGGTGCAAAAATAACTATGTGTGTGAGGTTGAGTTTATACTCTTAATGGAGTTCGAGTCTCATAGTAGCTAGAGATTTAATTCGAACATCACCCAAGTGAACATAAGGAATGGTGTCGTTCCTAACAAGACCTTAGTTTAGTCTTGTAAATGTTCATGAATCCAAGATAGAGCACAAGGCCGGAACAGTGCTAAACGATTGGAACCGTTTTTAAATTTAGGATAACACATGCGTGATATATTTCCGGTATTTGCTTAAGAGACAAAGTTTAATGCAAAGCACACTATTGTCTTGTGAATACTTTGAAGTATAGTTACTAAGTAAAGGTTAAAATTGAAAGATACCTTCATGTATGTATGTATTTATCGTTGTTAATTCTGAAGAAATATTACAATCTAGTGGTGGATTGTTAGAGAGATTGTAATATATCTCTCAATTTCAATATCACAAAATTATTGGCTTAAAACACATTCGGGAAGAGTGGGCGGATACAAGCGTGCGCTGCAGCGCGCAGGAGCACGCGCTGCAGCGCGCTTGGGCGCTGCAGCCTGCACAAAACAGACCTCTCGGGTCTGTTTTGCTAAGCCCGCGCGCTGCAGCGCACAGCAGCGTGCGCTGCAGTGCGCTTATTGGGCGCTGCAGCCTGCGCAAAACAGACCTCTCGGGTCTGTTTTGCTGAGCCCCGCGCGATGTAACGCACGGACGCGCTGCAGTGCGCTTCTTGGGCGCTGTAGCGCAAATTGTTAACGGAAAATGTGTTTTCGTGTGTTTCAGTAATCTGAAAAGGTCTCGAACCATTGCATCTATTTGTGATATGTTTTCCCACATATCTGAGCACCTATTAACAATAGAAATAACTATTAATATAAGTGCAACAGCATATAAAAGATAACCATCAAATTGAAAAGGTATCTTTATGTGAAAGGTTGTAACACTTAAGGAAGATGGATGCATCCCTGTCTTTATTTGATGGACTTCAGAAAATTACACATTATTATTATTCTGAAACTCAATATTTTTACTGGATATTGTGTTCAAGGATTTGTTGTATCTTGGGGGTAATTTGCCATTTTAAAACTCGTTAGCAAACTTTGAGAAGTAAGGGCAAATAAAACCTTAAAGGAAAGGATTCCTCTACGTCTCAAACCCTTTTCCTGTTTTCTCTATTCTTTTCATCCTCCCAATTCCAAATTATTCCAACATGAACTATTGCTGCAATCAGTGGTGGAAGTTCGGGTCGACGGGCTGCCCGAAGCCCGAATTTTTTCGGGCTCGGGTGGGCAAGCCCATCTCCCGCCCGCCCAAGCTAGATTTTCGGGTTCGGGCTCGGGCAGCCCGAATTTGACACCGACTCTCTTGCCCGCCGCCGTCTAACCGCCCTATACCACCGTCCGCCGGAATTTTTTTGAATTTTCCGACCATGCCCGAACTGCCCGACCCGCCCGAATTGCCCGACCCGAAAATAAGCCCGAAAACCTGAATTTTACCCGAAGCCTGAGTTGCCCGATTTGCCCAAAACCGCCCGAAAATATTAGTTGCTACAAATTGGGGCATTCTGATAATCGAACTCAGGACCTCTCACACCCAAAATAAGAATCATACCACTAGATCCAATGTCTATATTTGTTATTTAAATTTTTAACTTTTTAATTAACACACAATTCCTTAATAGAAAAAGCAAATTTCTATTTTAGCAGTTTAATATTTCAGTTTTCACATTCTTGACACTTTTTTATAATCAATCACATGATAAAAGGATTCCTCAAAAAATAATATACACAAGAAAAGAAACACATTGCCATCACGTTTTTATTATTTTTTATTTTTAAAAAGTGTTGTTTCTATATAATGCCGGTTTTGTTCTTATAGATACTCGTGTTTTTCTATTCTATATCACTCTTCTTTCTATCTTTATCTATTTTTCTGTTCACAATCTCTCCTCATCCTCTTAATTATCCTCTTTTTTCTTCAACTTTCTTCACTCTCTTTGTGACTCTATATCAAAGTAACTTTCTACTTGCATACCAAAGTAAATTAATAATTTATCAAAAGTCACTCAATGATTGGTTTGGTTTAATAACTTCATCACTATTTGATGATCTCTATATTAAAAAACCAGTCACTCAATGTTGAAGCATTGGTTTGCATTAAGGATTGGGATCAGGCCAATCAACATTTACAAAATACAATTTCACCGGCAAGCCAATAATGGATCGATGAATTTAATCGATTAACATTTAATTTTGAAGACGATCTTTAGCTTTAAATTAAATTATAAATTTGTAATTTGTAAATATGTATTTACCTTTGACATTGTATTTTTAATTGTATAACTTTGTAAGTTTGTAAAATTTATAATTCGTCACAATATGATTGTACTCTTTTTTTCTTGCTAAGTTTTTATCCCAATTGGATTTTTCTTGGTAAAGTTTTTAATAAAGTAATCATGAATTATAAATTTAAAAATTAATAAAAAAAGAATTTTTTTATATAATTCGTGTGTTCATTTTAAATTTCAAATTGTAATATATATATATATATATAAATTTTAACACAAAATAACTTAATATTAAAAAAAAAGTTTAAATAATTCGGGCAATTCGGGCGGGCTCGGGCCGCCTAATACAAGCCCGCGGCCCGTTCAAGGTGAAATTCGGGCTCGGGCGGGCGGCCCAAATTTCTCGGGCGGCTCGGGCTCGGACTCGGGCAAAAACTCAGACTTTTCGGGCGGTCGCGGGCGACCCGTCCAAAGTTCCAGCACTAGCTACAATACATTCAAAGTTTTATATTATTTACTTTACAGCAAACCTAAATGTTCATCTAAAAAAACCTTAAAAGATTCAAGGTAGCTTCGAAATATTATTACCCTCATTCTCTTGAGAATTTTATTCTTGTCCTCCGTGGGACGGATCTTCAGTTGTGATGATAAGGTGTTGTACAATCCCTCATCCCTTCCAAGGTTATATTATCAAAATAGGTTATATTATCCTCAATCCCTTCCAAGGTTCAGCCATTTTCTCAAACTCAACAGGTAATCTCTCATGTAATAACAATAATCGAGCAATATCTAACTCCCGTGTCTCCTTGCTACCTCTATGACGGGGATGCTGCTTCTTATTTAATTTTTGTAAATTAAAATACCCCGAAAAGAATGAAAAATTAACAATATTCAGAATTTACTTTTAAAATTTATAAATGACTCACAATGTGACGGTAGCCTAGTCGGATCACCTGATGGGGGCTGAGATCCTCCAACCAATCCTGCACACGTAGCAATAGGTTCAGACATGCTGCAAATCGATATTCCAAAATATGATTAATTTATGTAGTACATTATCATACGAGTATGAATTATGAGTTCATGAGTTTATAAGATCAATACAATATGAAAATATCATTCATCATCATGTGTCATTAAAGCATGTAATTGGATATTTGTTATCTATTTAATGAAAGTGAATTTTTATTATTTGGTTTCCACATATTATTAAATGCTTTATAAATATCATTGAAAATTTCACAATTATTTATGTCATGATCTTAAATATTTATATATAAGTGTTATATAATATTTAAGGATAATAATTGAAATTTTTCTGTAATGAATTTAATTAAAGTTTGAGTCCTTAATTAAAGTATTACCAATACAAATCATTCTAATTAAGGATGAAACGATTTTTTCTGTATTGTTAATATGAAGGATATTGAATGCGGTTATTGTACATAATGTGATTATGTAGTACTGAGACAAAGCCACGATTTGAATTTTTAATAATTTCCTTTAAGTATAAAAATTCAAATTGAATCTACCGATGTTTATGTATAGAATGATCTTAATCTTGAGTTATTAACAAACTCCTATTTATAGATTTGTGTCTTTTGACTTACTCATTATAATTTCAGAGTTATAAAATCCTATTCCTTGTATCTTGAAGCTATAAAAAAAACACACTACAACAAATATTATTATCAATAGCTGACCAAAAATGCTATTAAGCACTACCAATAGCGTTTTGTGGACTGTTAGGACATCGGATACTATTAAAAGTCCTACGAAAACGTAGCGTCCTGCGAGCGATATGAGAAATGCTACAGAATTGAGGTGCTATAGCGTTTTAGACATGTTACTTTCATCCTCTTACAGCTATTTAGCATTGTAACGGTACAGATCAATAGCTTTTCTCCCTTGTTATGTTCATACTCCTATAGCTTTTTAAGTCAATCACCATCTATTTTACCAATAGTAAAAGTAATACATACTAACGTCCGATCTACTAATATTATATTAATATCCTTTTGAATTCATTCAAATAGATGGTGATTCCGAGCAACATCTTACATCCAAATAGGAACATTCAAATTAAAACATAAAAGCATTCAATGTAATAATTGTTATCAGTATCTACCAAGTTAGCAAGAAGATGTCTACAATATAAGTCACATAATTTGTCCAGAACCTTAACATTCAAAACAAGTAAAGAAAACAGAAGAATAGTTAGAGATATCAAAGTATCCAAAACATTTAGCAAAATGAAATAGTGAAGTAAATCCTTCCATCTTGACAAAATGCTTTAACAAAAAAGTCATCTTAACTTGTAAGAAAGTGATCCACTATCAAAACAATGATCAAACTTAGCTAAAACTTTCACCATTTAACCTGTAAATAAAGCAATGACTAGTTACACCATTCACAACTACATAGCCACATCCACATATGTTTTGCAGTGAGTTAGGGGAAATATGGCTTCAATGATGCACTAGGCAAAAATTTAATATCAAACTTGCAATACAAAAAGTATCTTACATGTATTGTTGTGTAGATAGTTGCAGGAAGCATGAGTCTTCATTGCCTACATTTAAACCCGAAGAGAAAAAAACTTGCTATCACAATCATATAATGTTTTGCCTAAAAGAAATTTGCAGCTAGTAGAGATTTTTCATACCCTTTTAAATTTTTATCAGCAAGCCATGCCACATTACTTGAAATCGCTTCTTCAATGGTACTCATCTCACTCATTGGCCTCCACAAGAAAGCATCCGATTTTTTTGCTACATCCACCCACACTCTAACTGCATTTGGTCCAAGAGGTACATGGTGAACGAGGTCTTTCGGGTCGCTTGGCATCAAACGCCCTTCAGCAACAACTTCCCCGGTTCCAAACCAATCTAGTAGCTTACACTTGTTGGTCATTTTGGGTAAATTAGTACCTACACTCTGACAATAATTCAATGGACATAAGCAATTACAAATAAAAAACGTTAGTATATGAAAAACTTGATTTCATCCCGTTTAAGCGCATTGCATATACTCCTTAGTAAGTCTATAAATAAAAAAGGTCAACTCTAAGATTTCTATAACTACAATGAGTAATAGACGGAAAAATTAAATTCTAATATTGCGCACCTGTTAACACGCACCCAATCTTTCTCAATCATCCTAACAACATCAATGGACTTCATAATTAACACAATGCTAAATTAATTATCACATTTGTAACTACCAAATAAAATTTATTAGAACATCAATTTCAAATAAAATAACGAATAATGTGGATTAAGTAGATAAATAACTTAATACCGTACCAAAAAACCTAATTGACACATCACTCAACACATACATCAAAAGTTGAAAACAATTCCTAGGAAGACAAGAATGCAAACAATAAGACATTTGGAAACAAAATTGACATCAATACATGGTTGAAAAGACCAAACATTGAAAAATATACAGAACAATTAGAGAAAGAGAATCCGGAATAAACATAACATACCTTCGTCTCTTTGAGGAGAGCACCTAACCAATAACAAATCTGTGAGAAAAAAATTAGACATGCACAACCAAAAAAACAGGGATAAACCAACACAGAAAAAGAAAACAGGAATGATTTCTTCTGAAAACTGAAATGTGAGTGAAAAAAATAACCTGTCTTCGTTTTTTATAAAAGACACAATAGTTTTGCTGCTGAATAACTAGTTTCAACATGTTTTTCTTCTTCTCATCAACAGACGGGCCACTAAGGTGCTTGTAAACAGCCACTAAGGTGCCTAATTTTAGATTTTGACTAATTCTTTTCCGTAAAATCAAGACAATCTGAGTTCTTTTCAAGAAATTTAAAATCAACAATTAAGAAATTTAATATCTGATTTCTTTTCACGCACACTGTTCTTATAAACACAACAAAAGCTTATGTTCTGTACAAGAATACTAAACTTTATAACCTACAAATTTGGGGTTTTCTTGTGCAACTAATGAATTTTAATGTAAAAAGCAAATCATCACAACAGAATTGATGCAACCAAGAGAATCGAAACAAAAGTAGAGCAGAAAATTGTGATTCGACTAGAAACAAGTCGAACAATCAAGCCATACCTTGGTTACAGCAACATTAAAACCCTAACTTTTACAGACAAATGAAGAGAACAACGACCCAAAGTTCAAAAGCTCATAAAACTTAAATTTGAGGAGATGTCCTTTGCTGCACGAACGAGGAGGTTTTACATTGTGTGGAAAGAATTCTTCCTTAAGAGCATTTACATTGAGTTCCGCCTGAGGTTTTTTTTTTTTTTTTTTTTTTTTTTTTTTTTTTTTTTTTCTCTTTGGGCTGCCAAAATGGCTCTTCAGTTTTTTGTTAGATGGTGGCAATTTTTTTTAATCCTCGTCAAATGGTATTGCACGTGCACTTCTCATGTGTCATTAAATTTAATATTGTGCACGTCTTTTAAAATATTTGCGAGTATATTGAAAATTTGGGGGAAGTTGCCAAAATATTTCATAATTTTTTAATATATATGTATGTATACATAACATAATTTTTTTAAAACGCTATGAAATTCAAGCAAAATAAGTTTTAGTAGTGGTTTTTAAAAAATGATATAATTAAAAGTTATCAAAAGCCCCCTCTGTTGTAGTGAAATTTCAAATTTTTTTAAGTGAGGTGATATTATGTGATTAGTTAGACATCATTAAAGAAATTTTATTTCTGTATTTTGTTTAACTATTGTAAACATATATATGCATTTTTCGTGTGCATCATGTTAGTTGTGTAACACCTCGAGAAATTAAATAATATTAATTAAGATAATTAAAATTTATTAGTGTGTCTAATCTGATATAATTAATTAATTATTGATTAATAAATGTCTAACGTGTAACTTTAAATATTTCCAAGGAATTTACATATTTTCAGTAATTACATTTTTACCTCAGAAGTGTGTATAGACACATTTTCTGAACTGTCTTTTTAAATATTTAGACACATGTTTTTCTTTCCTTTTTCTTTTTCTTTTCCTTTTCTTTTTCCTTCTTTTCTTTTCATTCCCGTGCATCACTCTCCCTCTCTTTGTCGTTCTCACTCTCTCTCTCCCCTCTCAGTTTCATTCGTTCCTCTCTCTCCCGTTCAAATCTTCATTAAATCAATTGGATTTCGAGCCAAAGAAGAAATTCAAGAAATTTTCAACATCAAGAGAAGGAATTGAGGTAAGATTTCTGAAAAAGCTCTCTTGAATCTCAAATATTTTGGATTAGAAAACCTATTTTTAACCCGAAATAGATTTTGATGGATTTTGAGTAAAATCATGGTGGAAATTGGGGATCTTTAGTTCTTCAGACTTGATTTAGTAACTAGAACCTGGATTTGGTTGATTCCCTTTGAAATATTTTAGATTTGAACTCAGAATTGCAGGTTTTGGCCGGATTTCCTTCGAATCGGCCCTGTTGGTCGAGCTGCTTTGCTCCCACCTATCGACTGGACTGGTCGACCGGTTCCTTCTCCACTGGCCGACCGGTGGAGAATAATTTCTATGTCACCGGTCGACCGGTGCACACCGGGTTTGACCCTTTTTTTTATCTAAAAATGTTATTTTGATCCCGGTTTTCAAAGAGAACCCAAATTAGCTTCATGTGGGGACCTAAAATAGTTGGATTAGCATCTTTAATCCATGTTTTGGAATTAAAACCCTTGGAATGATGATTTGAACATGAAATAATTTATGAAACCGGTAATTGAATTATGACACACAAATAGGAAATCGAAGTGTATACTTGAAATTGAATTTCCTTAGGAATGAGAAATGAATCCTAAAGCATTGTTTTGTATCAATGATAGTTGGAGAATCAAATTGAAGGCTTCGAGCAAGCGGCGGCTAAGATAGCTCAACTCTAGCCACAGGTTTGGGGCATAAGAGGTATGATTTCTTACCCCTTCTTTGTTAGCCTGATTTTAAAAGAGTTTTGGCCTTGCAAATGTTTTAAAGAAATGACATGTTTACAAAAGAAAAGCATTTTAACACAATAGCTTGATTATAGCTATTGGAATTATAATGAACTATTTCAGAATGTCTAATGAATGATTTCTTAAGATAAGAGGTCTTGCAAATCGGTAAACCAGCTGATGGCCTAGATAGGATATGGAGAGTGTATCCTTAAGGGCAGAACCCAAAACCCGGACTAGGCCACTACGGTGGTGATAAAGCTTGTGCATGTGGTTGTGTAAGTAATTTATCCTCTGTAATATGGAATTTTCAGTTTATATTCCTTTCAGAAAAAGGATGTGAGGTTCCGGTGGTTGTGTTGGAACTGAATGTCTATATTTATTTATTTATTTATCTATTTACTTGTTCATTAATTCATTTACTTGTTTGTAAAGTTATTTCAAAATACATCTTACTGGGTCTTTCGCTCACGTTTTATTTGTTTTATAAATATTAAACCCCTTCAGGCGATGCTAGGAGCAGTGCGGAGTAGTTGAGTTAGATGCTAGTACCATCCGATTAAGAAAGGATAGTGCTCATCATCCTTGTGCATAAATGTAAGAATTGTAAATTCTGTAAACTCTGAACTTTAGACTTCTAGACTGTGGTTGATGGCTACGCGCTGGGGCGCGCTGGGGCGCGCCCTTTGGGCGATTTCTGGAAATTTTATGGGTAGTTTATGGGCATCTTCAAAGGCTTCAAACTTGATCTTGAAGGCCTCCTTTTGATTCAAAATTAAGACCCTAATTCTACCCAAAACCTAGAATTACAATAATTCTAATCCCGAATTAAATTACAAATAATTTATCAATGAATGAATATAACCGATCCATAGAACCATATAATTAACGACCAAATCCACCATCCATACATTCATCAACATGAATTAAAATAAACGTCTATAAATGCAAGTGCCTACCCATCACATACATACATAATTAAATATCACATATTTAATATATCAATTTTGATTATCAAATAATCGAAGCATAAATTAATATCGTCTATAGACCACTTTGATACCAATTGTTGGTTACCGAATCGAATTCGGATGCAGAAGCGTGGTGCGAAAGGCAGATCAAGTATAAAAAAAATTTTCATAAAACTTTTGAGATACTTTATAGATTATATTAATTTATGCACGAATAAATTAATCACATTAATTTATATATCAAGAACTCAATTAGGAAAAATATCTGGAGGCCGACTCGGATGATAACTTGAGTTCTTTGACCACGAACGATCCTTGCTCCAAAGCCTTGTGTTTAGAAAACCAAAGTCTTCCACGTCAATTCCTTGAATCTACATAGACGTGTGTGTGGCCACACTCGAGACTAAAACGGGTTAAATCAAACACTCAAATTTTCCACAAACACCAACGCATGCACGATGTGGAATTTTTAGGAGAAAAATTTTCCTTCTCTTACTCTAGGGAATTTCGGCCAGCCCCTTTCAAGTAGGTTAAAAATTTGTCACGCGCAATTTTTCATCATATCTTATTTATAGAGTAGAAGTCCAACTTCTAGAATGAATCAAATCTCTCTCTCATGTTTTAATTTTAAACAAAAATTCTCCTCTTCCTTATCTCCTTGTGGCCGGCCATGCTTAGGGTTTTCTATCCCTGTGTGTGGCGCCAATTGCAGATAGAGAAGTAAGAAAAAATCATCATTTATCCTGTAGTCCAATTTTAATTCAAATTTAAATTCGAATATAAGTCAAACTTAAATTAATTTGAATTATAAATTGAACAACTTATCAAATAAGTTTAAGAGGATAAATATAAAATATGTTCATGATTCAAATTCAAATTTAAATAATCACATTATTTAAATAATAATTAATTCTCAATGAATTATTTTTTCGAGTATTTAATTTTAGAATTTCATAATTCTAAAATTCCCATTTTGTCCTTTGTGTCTAGTAGCATTACAAAGACGATGCGGGGACTAATGGACCTATAATCCTGAGCTCCAATAAAATTAATAATTAATTAATTAATTAATTCTATTAATTCTAATAGTTACTCCACTATAAATTTGGAATTGAACTCTCGAAATTATAGACATTAATTACTTCTAAACTGTGAAGTGTCCATTTGATATAGTCATTGCATATAGATCAATCCTCCATAAATAATTCATAATTAGAGCCAGGTAGAATCCGTTAACCTCTCTAATTATATCTTCATCCTTGAGTACCATTGATTCTCTAATAGATAGTGATTCATAAAATACATTCGTGAACCAGAGTGTTGTTTATCTACTTCTTTCTCAAGAAGGAATGGATTCCATCTCATATAATAACATTCTCGACTACCTATTTCATCATGTCTTTAAAATACAAG